GAGGGTTGCGATCCCGTTACCGGTCAGTAAAAAAGACAAAAAGGAAAAAAAAAAAGAAGTATTCTTCAAATCCATCCCTCCATTTCTGGAATCTGTCATGGCCTTTCCATATGCTACTTCTTTAACCCAACCCTTATTTCTGCCTGGCAAATTGCTGTCCATGCTTAAATGTCACTTGTCCACTTCCCTCCTCCCCTTGCCCAGCTGCCGCCAACCCGTAAAGCCTTCCCCAACTATCCTGAATAGAAGAACTTGTTCTCTCATTTTGTCCCAGAGCTTTTGTACATAACTTTAGTATAGCACTTATCACTTGGTACATTGTGCTTACCTCCACAGCCTCATCTCACATCTCTTTCACTAACATGCAGGCTACTTAAGATGCCATGTGTGAGTCATCCTCATATCTCCCAGCATTTGTCAAGTGTCTGGCACATAGGGGTTCAATAAATGTTTCAATGAATTTAAACTAAGAAAGTCTAATACTAGCATTTTCTTTTTGTGCAGAGATTAGTACTGAAGAGCAGCTAAGGCGCCTGCAAGAAGAGAAGCTTTGCAAAATCTGTATGGATAGAAATATTGCCATAGTTTTTATTCCTTGTGGACATCTGGTCACTTGTAAGCAATGTGCTGAAGCAGTTGACAAATGTCCCATGTGCTACACAGTCATTACTTTCAAGCAAAAAATTTTTATGTCTTAATCTAACTCCACAGTAGGCATGTTATATTCTTATTACCCTGATTGAATGTGTGATGTGAACCGACTTTAAGTAATCAGCACTGAATTCCATTAGCATTTGCTACCAAGTAGAAAAAATGTAAACGGCAGTGTTTTAGTTGGCAATCTAAAATTTGAATTTCTGGATTTTATTAGCTGTATTATTTATCCATTTTTTATTGTTATTTAATTGAAACCCTAGACTGAGAAGCATCATATTATAACTGATCACAATGTGTATTTGTAGTATACTTACTTAGTTTCTAAGTGTAAATGAATTAATCATTTGAATTTTTCATTCTTTTCAGATAGGCTTAACAAATGGAGCATTCTTTATAAATGTGGAGATTAGAGTTAATCTCCCCAATCACACAATTTGTTTGTGTGAAAAAGGAATGAACTGTTCCACACTGGTAGAAAGATAGAGATTATTTTTTAATGTTTGTGTTTTAGGATTCTGTCTGCTTTCTTTGAAAGTTATAAATACATACTTATGTGAATGATTTTAAATGGCATTTAATGATAGAATACCATCTAGCCAATTTCTACTAATATGAAAAGGTGTCAAAGATATATAAGTATAAAATGCAAGTGGCAAATCACTGTTTATAGTGTGAGCCAAATTGAGGTGTGTGCATTTTGTATATCTGTAGAACAGAAGATTTGGAAAGATGCACTAAACTGTTAAGTGTGGTGTCTCTTGAGGGGGGTGGGGGGATGGGTCCCTGAGGGGGTTTACAGGGACCTTTCACTTTCTTTTGTGTGTGTGTGTTTGAATTTCTTATAAGTGTGTATTACTTTTGTAATCAGAATTTTTAGAAAGTATTTTACTGATTTAAAGGCTTAGGCATGTTCAAACACCTGCAAAACTACTTATCGCTCAGCTTTAGTTTTTCTAATCCAAGAAGGCAGGGCAGTTAACCTTTTTGGTGCCAATGTGAAATTTATATGTTTTTATGTTTTTCCTGCTTTGTGGATGAAAAATATTTCTGAGTGGTAGTTTTCTGACAGGTAGACCATGTCTTCATATCGTTTTTCAAAATAAATATTTCTGATTTTGTAAAATGAAATATAAAATATGTCTCAGATCTTCCAATTAATTAGTAAGGATTCATCCTTAATCCTTGCTAGTTTAAGCCTGCCTAAGTCACTTTACTAAAAGATCTTTGTTAACCCAGTATTTTAAATATCTGTCAGCTCATGTAGGTAAAAGTAGAAGCGTGTTTGTATACTGCTTGTAGTTATAGATAGCTTTCCATGTTGAGATTCTCACATCTTCTTGTATCTTAAAGTTTCATGTAAGTTTTTACCGTTAGGATGATTAAGATGTATATAGGACAAAATGTTAAGTCTTTACTTAAATTTTTTTTTTGTTTTCTTCACTAGTAATGGTAGTAGATACTTGTGAAATAAATATTCTCTCAAGATCCTTAAAACCTCTTGGAAATTATAAAATATTGACAAGAAAAGAATAGTTTAAGTATTTTTTAAAAAAAACTTGAATAAGAGTCTATGGGTGACAAATGGAAGTTTTAAAATGCTTCAAAAGAATAAAAATAAATGAAAATGCTTCATAGAACACCCAGGGCTTACAAGATTCTCATGACTGACCTATTGTAGAGGTGAGTAAGGCATTTTACTGCAGAGAAAAGTTTGAGTGAAACTTAAAAATTATATTTTTGTTGTATTTTCTAAGAGAAAGAATATTGTTATGTTCTCCTAACCTCTGTTGATTACTACTTTAAGTGATATTCATTTAAAGCATTGCAAATTTGTGAGAATTTTAAAAATTATATGACTGCCCTGTTTTGTTTTATTATGTAAATCCTCAATTCCTTACCCTTTCACTGTTTTCCACTGAGGTTTAGGTTGAATTTGACCTGTATAGTCTAAGCTTTAAATTTAAGCTTAAAGTGCATTCTACAATGGGAGAAAAGTGTTAAAAGTTTTTTAAATGTGTTTTCCAGGACACTTCAACTCCAAATTAGTAGCTAGTTCAATCTAGTTGTTAGCCAAAGATTCAGTGACCAAATTGTTTTAACATAAGGCTTTTCCTATTCTGGGAGTCTCAGTTCATTCCATCTCTTTTAAACTTATGTGTTTAGAATTAAGCAAGACCTTTTTTTCCTCTCCATGAGTTGTGAAATTTAATGCATGAAGCTGATGTTGCTAACAAGTTTATTTTAAGAATTGTTTAGAAACGCTGTTTCTTCAGGTTCTTAAAATCACTCAGCACTCCAGCTTCTAATCAGATTTTTGGAGACTTACCAGTGTTTGTCTCTGTTTGCACTATAAAAAGCACTGGATCCTTTCCATCTAATCGTGCAAAAATTGATTACTTGCAAGGCAAAAAATATCAGATCCAAATCTCTCCCCTCCCCCATAATTTTCAGTCTCTACATGTAGACGAATTTTCTGTATAAAGTTCACTCTAGGATTTCATAGTCACCACCTGTTTTACTACATTTTAGCCATGTGAAGATTCAAGCTGTTTTGTAATAAATAGTTATCTTTATTTGTAATAATTTAACGTGCTCATCAAAAAGCCTTGTCTTAATTTTTGTGAATGAGGTTTAGCATTTATAAATTCCAGTTTATTAATTAATGGCTTTGTATTGCCTTTACTACTAGATTTGATTTTCCCCCTTCCCTATGGTTAGGGGCTGAGGTGGGATAGAATGGGTGTAGTGAGTGTGTATATTGTGATTTGGTCCTGTGTATTATGATATTTTGTTATTTTTGTCCTATTAAATTTTGGTAGTTGTTTTTTATGTTTTCTTAGTAGATTTAATCTGTATTTTGAACTCTCTGAATGGAGACTACTACCCATTAGTTGCAGATATTGTACTCTTTTTTTTTTTTTTTTTTTTTTTTTTTTTTTTTTTTTTTGGCCGGCAAACGGTCCCAA